ATTATAACATGCCAAATTTTTTTTTAAAATTCCAATTTTAGGATCAATAGATGTTAATTGCCCTAAAAAAAGATTATATGATGCAACTAATTAAACTTAAAAATTATAATAAACCATAATACCATAAATTTGGATTCTTTTTTTACAATTGAATTGCAAATAATTGAATGACAATTAAATTCTTTCATCATCTAAAAAAAAAAAAATAGATGATTTTGTCAAAACCGGAAAATACGTTTATACTCTCATGGTTTACTTTTCTATCATTCCGCTCCGTAATAATCCGTTTTGAACAAACTAGGGCTTATTACAAATAAATAAACATTTTATCTAACAATCCCTTTTGAACAAACAAACAATTATCATGAAAAATAAAAATAAACTAATCTTTGAAAGTCATCGATATTTAGATTCGTTAAAAATTATTTATATTGGGTCGAACTGCGCCGCATATGCGAATAATTTTTAGGAGTGCGAAAATTAAACGATGTAGCAAATATCAATCACATATTAATTACTATTACTTCATTTTATTTCATTAACCTTCTCAAAAAAAAATTACACTTAACATTAAAAAATTTTTTATTTTTTAAATGATTCTGGTTTAAATTTGCGCATAAGATTGGCCTATTATATATATCGAAACCTACTTTAGGAAAAAAAAAAAAAAAAAAAAAAAAAAGAAATTGAAAAAAAATTCTAGAAAAAAAACTAGAAGAGATACGAAGTTCGAGTTTTATAAAAAAAAAAAACGAAAATCAACGCGAAACTCTCGAACCGCGAAAAAGGATCTAAAAATTTACAGAAATTAAAATAATGAAAAAAATGAAAAAATAATTTTTTTTTAAAAAAAATATATAACAAATGATCAAAGGGGAAAAAAGGGTATCGGAAAATATTACAAAGAAACGAAGTTTTAAAAAATGATGATTTTTTAATGTGAATGGGAAAATAAAAAAGAAAAAAAATAAATTTTGAGGTAAAAAAATATACTAGGCCATTGCACGAATTATTTTGGTAATCTGATTTTGTTTTTTTGTTTCCTTTTTTTTTTTTTTTTTTTTTTTGAATGCTGGGCCGGCCAACATTATAAAAGGAAAAAATATTAATTACAAAATGGCTAAAAATACAATCTAAAAGTAACACCCGCCAATGAAACTCCGATGATATTAAAAATGAAAATATAATTCGGAGAACGTTCTTTTTGAAATCCAACTTGCCGAAAATTTACAGCGGATGTTAATAAAAAACATTTTTTCACCATGCAAATTTGAGAACCAGAAGAAAAAAAAACCTCCCTAATAAATAATATATATATAATAATGATAATGGTTTTTTATATCAATGTCCTTCCTTTTTTTTTTTACTATAATAAATTGTTCCTTCAAGAAATAATAATAATAATAAATGTAAAAATAAGTACTTTTGGGAATGCACTAATTGAAAGTACACAGAGAAGAAAAAAAAATATTGCAGAGGTGTCGGTTATTTATGGATTGGTGAAGAACGAATGATTCAACGCATCGTCGATTGAAATTCGCTTCAATGGGTCGACAAGCATAAGTTTTTGAATAAGATCGATGGCATCTGCTGAATAATGTTTAAAACGTTTTTCTGGAAATTGGATTCCGGTTGTAGCTTGTTCGCTTATCGGCCTTTGATCATCGAATGGATATCGTCCAGCAAGACTATAATATATATAATAAATCAAAATAGGTGAACGAGTTTAATAAAGATAAAGTAAATAATGTAAACACGACAAAGCTCGATTAATCAAATAATTACCAGACGTATAATGTTGCGCCTAACGACCATAAATCAGCGCGTTTGTAATTGAGCCATGCTAATTTATCGGTTCGATGGAATTGACCGAGAACTTCGGGAGCGGCAAAAGCTGGAGTACCTACAACTTGTAATCCGGAATGATAACCGAATTCGGTTGAAAGGCCAAAGTCACCAAGCTTTGCATAACCACCTTGGTACAACATGATGTTCTCAGGTTTGATATCGCGATGAACAAAACCCGAATCGTGCAAAGACTTGACTGCCTCAAATATAGGTTTCATCAATTCACGGGCACAATGTTCAGTCATACGACGTCGATAGATGACATCACTCAAGTCTTTGTTCGCTAAAGGCATAATGTAATAAACCTTCTTCGATGTTTCAACAAGGTCCAAAAGCGGAACCAGATGTGACTGTGTAATAAATTAATGTTTTTAAGTCTCATTATCACCGGGTGAAGGAAAGAAAAGAAATAATCGCTAGATTTTGTTACGTACCAATCCTTCCATACGAACCATCATTCTACCTTCATGCATTATCTCTTGGTTTTTCTTTTTCTGTTTCTTGTCAGAAAATTGTATTCTGCCTAATGAACACGTGAATTGTTTTTTCAAACATTTGACGGCAACGCGCATTTTGGTTTGAACATCAATACCTGCACAAATGAAATGGTTGAACGGATCCCTTAGTAAATCATCTGAAAAAAAACGCAAAAAAAAAAATCTTTCGAATCGTCGATGCATACCTCTTAATACTTTTCCGTGATGACCTTCACCGATGGTATCTTTTTTGTCGATTAGGTAACGGCCATTAAGTAATCGTTGATGTTTGGATTTTTTTTCAACCGTACCAACATTCGTCGAGCATGTCCCTGCTTTTTCGATACGTTTCTTGGCTTGATCGTCACATTTTTGCGTTTTATCTACTTTATGCGTCAATTTTATACCTCTATCAGCATGTTTCTTTGCCGATGCTGCCACCTTGTTTAAAAAATTGCCAGCACGTGCGATCGGGTTCTTTTGAAGTTTTACGGTTTTTGTATCGCACTATTATAAAAAAAAAAAAAATAGTGTTTAGACCTTTTTCGTATAAAGTTAACAAAGATTATTAACACCTCAATACATACTTTCTTCGATTTTTCAAACTTTTCAACAGAAGCAGTGCTTTCATTATCGATATCTTCTGATGATACTTCAAGAGTCGAATCATCATCGCTGGATTCCTATTATATCACATGACGACATTGAATAAACATACAATTATATAATACATACATACACAAATTAGGCAAATATACTTACGCTTTTGAGTAACAATTCGCAATCAACTTTCTTTTCTTGGACAAACTAAAAAAAGGTATCATGTCATTTTAAGTTAATACGAGGAAATCGGGATGATGGGAATATTTCATTATCTACGAAGCTAAACGATTGACAAACGAACCTCACGAATGCCATCAATGTCGTTAAAATTATTATCTAAACGTTCATCTATTTGTTTGATCAACTAGTAATCACCAAGGAGTAAGTCACATGATTAGCATTACGGTAGAAGAGACAATAATCAAACGACGGAGAAGGTTTTTACCTCTTTAACCCTCTGGCTATTATTTTGATTGGGATCGATGTTCAAATTTATCGTCATGATATTGTCCAATTCTTTTAGCAAATCATCAACCCAACGCTCCATACTCTCATTCTTCATTACCTTTGAAGTATCATATACGGCAGTCGACTTTTTAGCCGAAGGCATACATATAGCCGAGTCCAGACGAGGATTGTTTCTTTTGGCGTTTATTAAATGAGCCATGTTTTGTTGAAAGGTTAGTTCAGAAGGATTTGGATAGGATACGAAAACCGTAGAATCGTTCACGGTATACTGTTGAACCAGGGCCATTTTGAAAAAAAACAACTCTTTTTATGTTAAAATTTTTTTGTTTGTCGTTGTACTTGATATTGTATTATTGTATGGTGATGTATAAAGAGGGCATGTGCAGCTGCAGAAGATAAAAAAAAAACTCGTTTTTTTTTTGTATCAAGAAGATAAATAAATCACTGCAAGGCGAACAAGGTCAGGAAATCTATCGAATGGGTGAAAGGTTAAGGAGACGAATGGTTTGATTTTTTTTGAAATTTTTTTCTTCTGTCCAATAATAAGATAAAAAACGACTGATTAAATAAGAATTGAACCAAAAAAGATTTATTATATATAATAGTATTGATATAGATTTTTTTTTAATAAATATATGTAACAAGTATTAAAATAAATAAAAATTCTTTTTCTTTGCTTTATTTGAATATGTATGTATAAATTGTTTCTATTGCTGTCGGCTTTACCGAGAAGTTACCATTAGAGCTGTAATTTTATATAGACGACGAGATATGTGGCGGGGAAGTGATAGAGGTTTAGGTTCAGGAAAGCAAAAAGGTTAAAATATAAATAAAGTGCCCAAACTCCATACAAAAAAAAAGAACACGGGCTCTACAGGGGAGATAATATAACGAAACTGGGAAAGAAGGCGGGCAAAGAAGAAAAAAAAAAGCCGACCTGCTAAACCATAAACAAAATCTTTTTTATTTATATATCAATTTATAATAGATTACAATTTACTTTATTTTATAATTTATATTACAATAGACTAAAAAAGCGAAAGGCTTTTTGAGTTTTAGTTTTTTTTTTTTTTTGTCATACAGTTTTATTTTTTTTCACGACTTAGATAAGTATATTTCCAAAAATCTCGTGTCACAAAGATTTCCTATTCTATTACCTCATGTAGTAAAAAAATTGACCTAACCTTTATAATTTTTTTTTTGTTGTTCATTATAAATTCTCTTTTATTACAACAAACAACTACTAATTGAATGTTTTATTTTTTTATTGGATTTTCAAGATTCTTTTATATTATTTTTAATTTGTAAATGAATGAAAAGTGAGTACAATGTTGCAAATCTCGAATGAAACATAAATGCTATCATTAAATAATATAAAATATATCGGGCTACCATAATTACTTCCAAATCAATTGTCATTATTATCCATTTTTTTTATTTTTTTTACATGGGCAGAACTTTTTTTTTCTCACGAATATTCATTTGAATTTACTTTCTCTCTTCATTATGTACCCAATAAAAATTCGCAGAGAGAATGTCCTATATGCGAGATGTTAAGGTTATGATTATATATATGTGTGCAATAGCCCCAACCAAATATATTACATTGGCGCGTAAAATATATATATGTATTTAAAGTACTCTATTCTTATATAATACGCCCGTGACGATTAAAGGAATCCCGAAAAGGATTCATGTTGAAAAAGGAAAGATTAAACTCTAGTAATGACAAATTTTTTTGTGACATCAAATTCGTAGGGAATTAAAAAAAGGCTAGTTTTCATCAAAAAGGAGGGAAGCACGGATCACCTGAAGTTTACTGATTTGGATGTGTTTGAGACCATTCGAGTGTATCACAAAAGGTTTCACCTTCAAAAAAATTTTTCCGGGATATTCCCAATTATAATTCCGATGAAAACGACCAACTATTGGGCGAAATGGATAAATTTTTGGGTTCATTGTGCAAAACGTTGTTGACGGGAATAGATCACGAAAATATAATTTAGGTCAGATGAGCACATGATCATTGATAAGGAAATAATTGCAATCGAAGGATTTAGAAGGGTTCATTCGTGATAAAAAAAAAAAATAATAAAAATAACGAAAAAGGTTAAGGTTCGCAAATCCCACGTAGCGAAATAATGAATATAAATTTGGAAGGATTACATACATGGTCGAAAAGACAATCGCCCAAGCCTGACCATTTTTCCGCTTTCACTCGAGTTTGGGAATTTGGGGCTAACCCTTGCTTGATACGATAAAAAACATAAGCCCCTTTCCTTTGGCTTATCAATCAAACATTTTTTTATAATCATCTTCGCGTTTAGGGAAATTTGAACAACGTGATACCCAATATTCATATGATGTTACGATTTGGATTGAGTTTCATTATGCATGTCGTTTCTGGAAGCCCTTGTTTCACCAACCTCCATCAATTAAGGGATAGTTTGTTCAACTGTTTGGATAGTTTATGTGATAACGTAATCCATCAAATCGAAAATCAGACCAGGGCAAGCCTCACGTTTGGTAAATATTTTCGCAATGATTACAGAAACCAAATTTTTTTATCAGATCCTTCTTGCTGCATGCTAAAACAAATGTTTCGTGGCGTTGCTAAATAATAATTGCTTTATTAATCCCATGTATCAACCTAAATACTGAAATGGTTCTCCATCCAAAGAATTTTGCTTTATTTAGATTACATGCATTCGAAGTATCATATGATTATAGCATTGATATTCTTTGTTCTGAACTCTCGAATTTTGATTGTTTTATTATTATTATATTATTTTTTGTAAAAAAAAAAAAAAAAAAAAAAATGAATTTTTGGGAGGATGAATGAGATGTACGTTGACAAAAAGCAGTGCTCCAAATGATATGCGTGATATTGTTAAAAAGATTCTCATTTTACGCCAAAAAAAAAGTTAGGATAAAATGTGACTCAACCTGAAACCAATGTTAAAACCAACCTAATATCGTGGTGTTTATTTATGATTTTAAAGATTTTTTTTAAATTAGTTTGGATAACTTTTGATGAAACTAATAATGACACGTCAAAAAGTACGTTGTAAAAAAATATATGTAGAAACCTTTTCTATTTTCCTTTTATCCCCCTTTTCCCCACACAACACAATAGAGAATAATAATAATCGTTCATTGTTTTTATTTTATTTACACGTGGAAATTTTGTTCAATCCTGAAGATTGGAAAAGGGGGAAGGGCACCGCAGCTTTATTTATTTATTATCTATCTCTCCTTTAAATCATTAAATCACACAAATATATAATATGAAATGATTAATCTTTAAAAAGAATTTTTTTTATTTTTATTTTTTTAATAAAAAATTTATTTGTATTCTATCAATGAAGTTTTCATAATCTTTCATTATTAAAATAATAATATTAACAGTTAATAATAATAATAATAATAAAATGATGAATGAAACAATGGAAATTTGATGTAATCAATTTTTACTTTCAAATCGGAACGAATTGAATATCATGGGATGAAACAACTTGCCTCCAGAGTAAGGTTGAAACCAAAATTTTAGCCCGGTCGGAGACCCCCAATTCTATTAATAACCTCCTTAAAAAACCTTAATTTTTAATTTTCTGATTCGTGATTTTTTATGTGTAAATGTAAATAAAAAAAAGGGAAAACCTAACCTAAATTAAAAGTAAATTAAAAAGAAAATGATTCTTTTTATCAACTTTGATCAAACCAATTCTCTTGTCAAATATGACACAGATTATGAATGCGTGTAACACTGTGAATTAGAAAGTCTTTCTACTTTTATACTTATTAATAGTTCCCTTTTTATAAATAAAAATAAAAAAAAAAATATTATTCATAAATGCAATTGAATCTTTTTTTCTACACAGAGAGTTACATTACTCAAATGAATAACTTGTTGCCTAAAAGAAAAAAAATTTTTTTCTTTTTGATTAGGCGTATTTTGAGATACTATAAAAAGCTTTATTTATTAATTTATCAATAAGTAATGTAATAAATAATAACCGATAACTTTAATTTCTTTGATGTATTAATCTAGTAAAAAATATATTTTTTATATTATAAATTAACATTGTTCATTATTATTGGCTAATACGAAATGATGCGCAGCACATCTCGATGCGTAGTATAATTAGCGCACATAGTTTGTTTCAAAATTAAGACCAGTGATGTAATTAGGATGGTAAGAAGGCTCATCAAAGGATATAATTATTCCCGATTCGGAGGAAATTTCGTCGATTAATGAACAATTGAACGCATATTTTTTAAAGTCAGAACAATTGACGTCATAAATATAACAAAGAACGTAATATAAATTATGAATATTCTTTTTCTTCACTTTTTTTAAGAGCAATTACACCAAAAGATTAAATAATTTAACAAAACGTGTATCGCTTATGGAGATGTAAATAACAAAGGTATATTACAAATAATATATGAATTGTGTTCGAAAAAATTACGAATTTAAAGGGTACTGATATGTAAAATGCTTTAACTCGAAATAATTTAATAATAAAAAGATAATCTAAAGATCTTAAGATAAAAGAAATTATTCAAATAATTAATAATAAATAATCCACTAAAATTTATTAAAAATTACAAAATTAAATTGTTATTAATTATATTAATTTTCCAAATAGCCAATCTTATTTAATAAGTCCATCGAATAAATTCTCTGTAAATAATCTAAGTAATAAATAAATACAACTACCAAAGAATCTAACAGCGGCTAAACCTGCGACGCTCCAAAGTATAAAAGCGAAATATGTGTTACTCCTCTGTGTATTATCGTTAAAAGCTGTTAAAACAGGACTAACTTGTGTAATAGCTGCAATTAAAGCACCATTTGAAATTATCCAAAAGAATACAACATAAGTTCTAAACATTGCATTTGATTCTTCTCGCAATTCTTCTTTTTCCTCCACGGAAATATTTTTTTTATCTCTTGGATGTTCTTTCCTATGCGTCGACAATTCTGATTGAACTCGTTCATATTCTTCATTAATATCTTCTGGTAATTCTACCTCGGCTGTTGAATCCTTCTTTTTGGATACTGTGCCAAGTTTTTCTGCCTTGGTATCTCCTTTCGTTCCCCAACTATAAAAAAAGGAAAAGAAAATGGTTGATAAGAAACTTTTTTTTTAAAAAAAAAAGAACTCATGTATATATAAATAAAAACTCATTTTAAACTTACCTAACATCATGAATATTACAAAAAGCATAAACATTTAACACATTAAGATAAAAAGGTACTAGCATCATATATTGTATACT